CATAATCAGTCCAAAGACAATCAAAACCAAACATGGTTTAGGCCAGTGCACATGAAATGAGTCAGTGCACATGTATGAGAAAGGGCATGAGAGAGAAGATGGGTGATGAAATAGGAACGAATGATTAAAAATGAAAGGGAAGGATATAAAAAAATACAAAAATTCAACATGTTGTCTTTGGGAGAGATTCGAGGAGAAACGAAGAACAGAAGTGGGTTTCAACGATTATCTCTCCCTCTGGGAGTGTTTGGTGGGCTAACAATGTTAATTGCAAAATTGATAAATAACTAGGATGAGTTCAGGGAGACCAACGATGGACAATGAAACCAACCAATTTCCAGTCAGGCTTTGCGGAAGGACCCAACAGAAAACTAATACACTGAACACTGAGGAACCAGGGGTCCTTACAAGATTCCCAGTGCCCCAGCAGTTTGTCTTTGACAGTGACCCAACCTGGTGAACTCAAGCAGGTCAAAGACTCTTGGTCTCCATTTTAAATTCAAGGAAACACCACCACCAGCGTGTAGCTTATAATATAATTGAAGAGAAAGGACATTAAATCACATAAGAACAACACAAATAAAGATGTGTGCTATTGCATCACACAGATGTAGACAAGCCCTAAAGGGATGTGGAGACCAAAGGTGTCCTGCAGCAACCAAAGGCCCAAAGCCTCCTAAAGGTAGGAGAATTACCTGCATGTGGGAACCCAGTTCGTTGCTCTGACACCGTGAAATTATTCTCAAGTGAGCTGTACCAGTTACATTTTCCGCATCCACATATTGTACCACAAACCAGTCTGACCTGTAGGGGAAGGCTACAAGTTCTGGTGCTTTTGCAATGCTCTGCTGCCTAACCAGTTTGTGTTTGCAAAAGCAACACGTGGCCAGGCCAAGATCGAGATATCCTAGGGAAGGCAGGGCGGTTGTTGCATGAGGCCCAGCCTGGGGTCCTTTCTGGGCTTACTTAGAGTCTCAGATGCACTGGAGAGAAAGCATAAGATTTCATAAAATTGTGTTGCTGTCTTTTCTGGACCAGATATTGTACTAGGAGCTATGGGGTGGTTCTGAGGAAGTCCTAAGCTAGGTAGGAGGGGAAGGCAGACATGCGAATGATTACCTGAGTCCGGAAGAATGGCTCAACAGAATAAGCAATGATGTACAATGATGGGTCAGGAGGAACCTGATCTCATGGAGGATCCTGGATGGTTTATTGAAGGAATAGCATTTCCAATGGACCTTGAAGGAGAAAGAAGACATTTTACTGACAGAACAGGACATTATTTAAGGAGGGAATTTGTGAGCAAGGGCCTCAGAGGCCCGAGCCCAAGAATCTACTGGTGATCCATTGATTGGGTAAGGCTTTTGCTAGGTGCAGTCAAGTCTGCCCAGTGATCCATATACACGGGAATAAAATCCTGCCTGGTCCTGCACCATCCCCATGATTACCTGTGGATTGGACCATGGTGATCTTTAGAGTTTTTATTAGCTTTTCTTCCTAGCCTGTCTTTGTCTGGAAGCTCTGCTGGAATCTGCTTGGGAGAATATTTACACAAACTTGCAGAGGCTTACGAGTGGTGGCTGATATAAGGTGAGTAGGGCAACAGGGCCTCAATATTTAGAAAGACAGGGTCCTGGTGGCACAGTGGTTAAAACACTCAGTTTCTAACCAAAGGCCAGGAGTTTGAACCCAACAGCCACCTCAGAGGAGAAACATGTGACAGTCTGCCTCCATAAAGATTGCTGTTCTGTGCTATGCAGTCAATTACGTAGATAATGACACTGAACAATGGCTCTGAACTCTGCTCTATCCTGAGACATTCACACATCTCTCACACACCTCACCCCATTGTCACAGTCACTGTGTCAGTCTATCTCATCCAGGGTCTGCCCTTCCAAGCATGATTTCCTTTTCCAAGGACTAGTCCCTCCTGGTGCTGACATGCTCAAAGTATGCGAGACAGTGCTTCAACATCCTTGCATCTAAAGAGCAAATTGGTTTCACCCTTTCAGGGACAGACCTGTTTGTTCTTTCGGCAGTCCATGGAATGTTCAGGACTCTTCTCCAGCAGCAAAACTCAAAGGCATTGGTAATTCTTCTGTCATCCTTCCTTATTCATTGTCCAGCTCTCAGGTGTAAGGCATATAGGGCTGTTCTACTTAGTGCTTTAGGGTCATGATTAGTCAGGATCTACTCTAAAGCACTGGGTTGAATTTTAAAAAATAAATACTTGTAGGGAGGAGTTCTGTGGAAACTGCTTTCTGTTCTGAACACAATTATGTTCCTTTGTGAACATCATTAGTTTTAAAAATTCTGTCTCTAATGAATCTCCAAGGTCCGTATGAAAGAACCTTTTTTTTTTTAAAAAAAAAAATTCTTTTTTGTGTCTATACCGTCAAATTGGATCTGACTGGTATAAGAGGAGATTGCCCCTCCTCCAGTAGAGCATCTGGTGGATTCAAACCGCATACCTCTGGGATTGCAGTGCAGCTTCTTGCCACTAGGCCTCCAGAGAGAGCTCTCACAGCCTCCTTTTAAGAGGAAGTTTGTTTGGTTGTTTGTTGTGTTTTTTTGTTTGTTTGTTTTTTTTAGCCAGAGTTGACTGAGCTATGCCAGGCTCAACTGTCTTCTACAAATGGCCAACTGATTAAGCTACAACATTGGTACACTGGAAAAGGATTATGGAGACTTAGTTGTGCTAATGCGAAGCCTATACATAGACCAAGAAGCAGTTGTCCAAAAAGAACAAGGGAATACTGCATGGTTTAAAAATCAGGAAAAATGTGCACCTATGTAATATGTATGCTGAGGACACAATTTAAAAATTTGGACCCTGTGAATAAGGAAGATTCATCAACAATCTGTAGGTGACACAACACTGCTTGATGAAACTGAGGAGGACCTGAAACGCTTGCTGCAGAAGATCAAGGACTGAAGCCTTCAATATGGATTCAAACTCAACACCAAGAAAACAAAGATTCTCACCACTGGGCCAATTGGCAGCATCATAATGGAAGGTGAAGAGATTGAGATTGTTAAGTTTTGGTTTGCTTTGCTCCACAATCAACACTCTTGGTACCAGCTGCCAGGAAATCAACAGGCGAACTGCACTGGTAAAGTCAGCTGTCAGGGACCTCTCCAGAGTACTGAAGAGCAATGACATCAGGCTGAAGACTGAGGTATGCCTGATCTAGGCCATAGTCTTTGCAATTGTGAGCTATATCTGTCAGAGAGCTGGACAATGACTAGGGATGATAGAAAGAGAATTGATGTGTTTCAGCTGTGGTGCCGGAGAAGCGTATTAAATTACCATGGATGGCTAGGAGGACAAATAGGTTTGTCCTGGGGAGGGTGAAGCTGGGCTGCTCCTTGGAGGCAAGGATTATGAACCTCCATCTGGACATACTTTGGGCGTATTGCAAGGAGGAACCAGTCCTTGGAGAGGAACATCAGGTTTGGGAGAATGGAGGGACAGCATAAGAGAGGAAGACCCACCATGGGATGGATTGATTCAGTGATTGGTGTGATGGGAGTAGATGTATCAGAGACAGTGAGTTTGGCACAGGATAGAGCAGGATTTAGGGCTTTTGTACATAGGGTCGCTATGAGTTGCAAGTGACTTGACAACACATAACAAACAACATGAATAAAGATGTGACATCAGAATTAGAGCAAGACTCATTAACAATCTGAATTATGTAGATGATACAATCTTGCTTGCTGAAAGTGAGGATGACTTGAGGCACTTGCTGCAGAAGATAAAACTAGTTTTCAATATGGATTACCTCTCAATATCAGGAAAAGTCCCCACCAACAGGTATCATGACAAATGGAAAAAAGATTAAAGAAGTCAACGATTTCATTTTGCTTAGATCCACAATCAACACAAATGGAAGCAGAAGTCAAGGAATCCAAAGATGTGTTTGTTGTATTGGAGAAATTCGCTGTCAAGGACCTCTCCAAAGTGCTAAAGAGCAAGAATGTCAGTTTAAAGATTAAGGTGTGTCTGATCCAAGCCACAGTCTTTTCAACTGCTCCCTATGCATCTGGGAAACCAATAAGGGTGACAGAAGAATCAATGACTTTAAATTGTGGTGTTGGAGAAGAGTATTGACTATCATGGACTGCCAGTAGAACAAGCAAATCTCTGTTGAAGAAAGTGCAAGCAGAGTGCTACTTAGAAGCAAGCACCGGGAAACCTTTTCACTTGCTTTGGGCCATGTTGTCAGAAGGGGCCAGCCCTTGGAAAAAGAAATCATCTTTGGAATGGTGGAGGGTAAAAAAATGAGGAAGCCCTCAACGAGATGGATCAACATAGTGGCTGTCAAACACAATGGGCTCGAGCATATCAGAGATGGTGAAGATGGCGCAGGATAGGGCGCGGTTCAGATCCATTTTTGTAAGGTCTATGAGTCTAGTGGATTTGACATAACTAACAACAACAGAGACTTAAAGTGGCTCAGACTTGGTTCCACTGGTGTTGCAGAGACAAGTAAGGGTTTTAAGCCGAGCAGGAACATGGTCACACCCGAAGTAGCTAAATCCTTCTGTTTCTTTCTGAGGGAGAGAATGTAGATAAAAGGCAAAAGTGGATGAGGGCTTCAATCCGGGGGCAACTGCTGCAGTTCAAGCCCAAAGTAATGGGGCCGAAACACCCTGGAAGGGAGAAGAGCTGAGCAAAATCTCAGAAGCAGAATCAACTAGGCGTGGGTACTTATTGGATGTGTTTGTGTATATGCAGGGGCGGAGTCAAGGGTGACCTCTTACCAAGTGCAAGGAGAGAGAGTGCTTTGTGTGAGTCTCCAGGTCAGGGTAGGAGCCAGGAGGTCAGGCGAGAGAGAAGGAAGAACGTGGAGGCACAGAGCCCCCGGAGGCCAGGTGGCTGCGGCGAGGCCCCGCCCCGTCCCCGCCCCCGTCCCCTCCCCTTCACCTCTTCCCAGAGCAGCTCATCCTCGAGGGTGAGAGCCGTGGCATTCGAGTCCTCCGGTATCCCAGCAGGCAGTGCAGCCGCAAGCCGCTGACAAAGGAGCGAAGGAGCAGTCACAGCTGCTTTCCGAGGAGCCGGTGTCGCCGAGGTGAGTCCCCCACCGTCCCGTCACCCACTTCCTCCGCCTCGAGCCGACGTGGAAGTTACGTGGCGAGGAGACCCGCGGC